TGTGTGTATGTGTGTGAGTGCAGGTACAACGGCAGGAGAAATGGCTTGAAGGAGATGAGATGGAATAGGATCAAGCGGACAAGTAGTAGGATGATTACTACACACAGACACAGACACAGACACACAGACACACACAAAATGCCCTAAAAACTTATGGAAGCCCATTTTGGCCACATAAAAAGGCCACATAATTATGGCATAAAAAGCACAACTATGAACATTTTAAATTATGAGCTACTAAGTCAATTATGAGATAAAAGTTCGAAACGGAGATATCAAGTCATAATTATGAGAAAAAGTAAAAAGAGAAATGACAAGAGGTCAACATTATGAGATGTCATAATTATGACATGCTGAAATTGACAAAAACAATGACACAAGTCGAAATTAATGACAAACATAATTATGCCAAAAAAGTTGAAAATGACTTAAGTCAATTATGATAGTTGATATTACAAAGAGGTGAAATTATGAGCTAAAAAGTCAAACATAATAACAAAAATTTCAATTTTATTTTGTCATAATTATCTTGTCTTTTTATCTCAATTTCGACTAGTATCTCATAATTAATAATCCACTTCTATATTTATTTTTATTTAAATTTCAAGTTCCATCTCTGAATTTTGACTTGTGTCATAATTATGATTTACCAAAGCATAATTTTTTTTCTTATGTGGCGAAAATGGGCTACCATACAAAGCTCATTCGCGCTTGTGTATAATTAAAATATGGTGTGTCAAGATGCGTCACACTAGGTTTAATGTCAACAACGTCAGAAGTCATTCATTCTTTCATTTTTCTATGACATCAGGCATCTTGAAATGCCATGTTCACATTAAATGTGAGTGAAAATGGGATTTGAAAAATACAATAGAGGCAGATGTTTCATTTAACATCTAAAACCAAACTGAAATAGGCTAAACACATTAAATAATGCAACATTGCATTGTGTATGATAATTTTCTAATATATCATACATTGTTCTTCTCCTCAGCTCTAGAGCAGGATTGGCCAGCTCTATCTTTGTCCCCTTCTGACTCAATCCCTGACTGGCTCTGCGCAGCTGCGTGCGTAAAAGTGAAACAGAGGAAGCAAACGTTAGTTTAACAGGTGACAGCACAGATATCCTGTAATCTGAGCAGCTGCTGTAACTCAAACCCCAACGACTCACGTCTCAAGCTGAGGATTCCATCATCCATACGCTCCAAAACAATGCCGTCCAGAGAGAAGAGCACAGGAACTGGCCGAGGAGCGGTCGGGTAGACACGAGGACCATCATCCTGTCAGAAACAGAGAAAACAGTGAGCAGAAAACATTTTTCACTGCCTTTGTCTTGTCTTACTTTGCAAAATGTTGTAGCATTAAAGCATTTCACTGTCACTGTCACTAAGCACATAACTGATAATCTATCAAAGGGAATGACTAGTCTTCCATTAGCTCTGATTAGGATGAGAGAGTGTGGGCATCATTTGACCCTCATTCTCACCTTTAGTGTAATAGCAGTGTCCCGTAACCACAGTCTCATTGGCTGGGGGTCTGCGCTGAGCTCATCCTCCAGGAAGGGTCCCAGCATGTTTAAGGTAGAAGCCAGGAGCTCTGCTTTGCACCCTGTCAGGCACATATCCATGAAGCCCACGCTCTCAGACAGAGGAGAGTGTCTGCCCGCACGTGGTCCCATCTCCAACCTGAGGGCCGCTGCTGGGGGACAGGAGAGAGACCGGGGCCCGGGAGACAGAGGAGCACTTGGAGAGGAAGAACCAGCTGTGGAGTGCATATGTTTGGTAAATCTTAAATAAGTGCCATACTGCATGTATCTGCACACACATGGTGTTAACAGCAGACTGAAAATCAGTTACCATAGAAAAGAAGCACGCGAGAGAGGTAATTATAAGGGGTGGTTGCTCAGACAGATTAACATATGGTTGAAGGAGCAGACTGCATCCTGTGAGTCGTGAATAATTAGTGGTTGGAGATGCACAAGCTCCTGACTTCATATCCAGGGAGTGAAGAGGGACATACCTTGAATACTATGGGAGTATCACCTGATCAAACCCTAAACACCAATATCCAATTTCCCCAGTGTTCAGTAGCATGGGCAATGTGTTTGCACACAGGGATCGTTTTTCTTAAAGGAAAAAAAAAAACCTGCTTAAAATGTACTCACCCTCAGGCCATTCAAGATGTAAATGAGTTTGTTTCTTAATCAGATCAGATTTGGAGAAATGTAGCATTACATCACTTGCTCACCAATGGCTCCTCTGCAGTGAACGGGTGCCGTCAGAATGAGAGTCCAAACAGCTGATAAAAACATCACAGTAATCCACAAGTAATCCACACCACTCCAGTCCATCAGTTAACATCTTGCGAAGAAAAAAGCTGCATGTTTAAAAGAAACAAATCCATCATTAAAGGGTTCGTTCACCCAAAAATGAAAATTAGGCTGCGTTTTATTCACCCTCGAGGCATCCTAGGTGTATATGACTTTCTTCTTTCAGACGAATCCAGTCGGAGTTATATTAAAAATTGTCTTTGATCTTTCAAGCTGTTTAATGGCACTCAGCGGGTGTTGCAGTGCTTCAGTCCAAAAGAAGTTAAATAAAAAGCGCCCCTCCATAAAAAAAAAAAAAGGCCTCCTGTAGCGAATCGATGCGTTTTTGTAAGAAAAATA